GGGGGGGGGGGGGGGGGGGGGGGGGTGGGGGTTATCTCCCTAGTTCGAAGGAAGTAGAGCTATAAGGACCCCAAATTGGGTTATAAGGATCCTAACTTAGGTTATAAATCCTTTAACGATAGTTGGTACAGTAAGGGGGCCCCTCCTTCTAGAGGCCATAAGGGAAAATGTATTAGAATGGCTTGCATGGGTCTGCATGGGTGGCCTTTAAAGGCGATGTAGCAGGGCAACGATTCGTTCTGGTCAGCCATGGGACAGGGCCTGGTGATGCGGTTTAGGGTTTAGGGTTTAGATGCAACAGGAATGGCCAGAACATGACAATCTGGGCTACACCTGACCAAATTTGGAAAACACTCGGCCGCTCCAGGTTTTAGGTTTGGCACGAGACTCCTGCCCTATACAGAAGCCCGAAAACACCCTCAGCCCGAAACCCTAAACCCTAAACCCGGTCAACTATCCTAACGCCCCTCCCAAAAACGACTCCCGTGCCGAGAATGTGGGTTCTAAAGAGTGCCTGCCTGTCTGCACATCTGCGCAAGCGGTTGCAGGGCGCGGTTTGGGGTTCAGAGTCCGCAAGGAAGTCTACAGTTCGCAGTATAGGAGCCTTATAAGGTGTGACTGTTTCGAGTTTGCTGGCGTGCGAACTTATTTCGGGAAGCCGGTCCTTTGTAACGTCGGGCGAGGAGGTATCCAACGGTTGCCTATATAATTACTGCTAGAACAGGAGATGCACGTATACTGATACTGTTACTGTATACTTGGGTTTAGGGTAGGGGGCCAAGGGTATTGAATTGTGGCTGCAGGATCGCTTGAAGGCCACACCGGCGCAGGTTCAGGATTTTAGGCCTGCGGTTCTTAAATAGAGTTTAGGTCTTGGGGTTGCTCTGGGCTTACCATCTCAGGATTTAAGGTCTGAGGTTCTTAGAGTTTAGGTTTTGGGGTTGCTCTGGGCTTACCATCTCCAGCACACATCACTTGCGACGTCGAAGAACTGCAGGTGAGCAGTTCGACCAACTCGCCCTCCAGGGCCGGTTTCAGGCCCGTGTTCGAATTGCACATGGGCTTTCCTCAAGAAGAGTTGTTTTCAGCGGGAGGGTTTACTATAACTACACAATGATAGCATAAGTAATCATCATAATCGGATGAGATCCCTGGCGCCAGAGGCACCAAGCGGGGCCAAGCCAGACATTGTGCTAGGGGAGTTGATTTGTGGCAGATGGCCTAAGTAGATTAAGGGGACCCTTGGGGATATAGACCCTCTGAATAAGGTCCCTGTTTAAGAGAGCCAGAAGAGGGTTCAGAAGGGGTACCCTTTGAAGGGTCCCCCTTATTCTACCTATGACTAAGGGTTTAGGTTTCAGGATTTGGGGTTTTAGGGTGTGGTGTACATAGGGTTTCGAGTTCCGGGCTTGAGGGTTCAAGAGGGCGATCAACCCATGCACAAAAGCTATGGGTACACACGGGTTTAGGGTTTAGGGTTTAGGGTTTAGGGTTTAGGGTTTCGGGTTTCGGGTTTAGGGCAGCCCCTCTGGGAATCGCTACTCGAAGATCAGCAGTCCCACGGCTAAGCGATGGCGGCGCACGAGGCGGAACGCTGGCGCGATCAGAACCTGCCAGATGTACTTGGAGGTTCAGGGCACTTCTAACCCAATTATAAGTGAAGTTAAGCCCTTTAATAAAGACCCCGATCGGGTTATAATTGGGTTTAAGTACAGTTAGAATTGGGTTGCGAAGTACCATGAACTTCCAAGTACTGATCTCTATCAGTTGGGATGTTCCCCTTGTACCAACAGTCCTTAATAGGGATGATAATAGGGGGTACTATCATCCCCATTTAGGACTGCTAGTATAGGGGGGAACATCGTGTTTTCCATAAGGCTCTATTGTACTTCTTTTAGGGTGTAGTGTTTAGGGTTTAGGGTCTAGGGTCTTTCTACGTTTGAAAATCAGCTAGGCAAGAAGGAGCTGCACTCCCACTCCACCCATGGGTAAGGGGAAGGCCCCGAACCCTAAACCCTAGACCCTAAACCCTAAACCCGAAGCACACCTTAGATTGCGGACAGGGTATGACTCGGGACGCGGGACACCATCGGGGGGATCACACATATGCGAAAAGCCTCCAAGCCCTCCAAATCCCGTTTAAACGGTTTAGGGCTTAGGGTTTGGGGTTAGGGGTTTGGGGTTAGAATCCCTAAACCCTGAACCCTCAAAACCCAAACCTCTCCAAAGTGTCAGGGTTTCAGGCAGGGGTCAGACCCTTCAGCTACAGCAAGGGTTCAGGACGCAGACTTTGGGGCTTAGGCTGCGTGTATATGACTCTAAGCCCTACACCCACAACCCCGAACGCCTTACACCCTAAACCCTAAGCCATCCAATGGAAAGCCAATCCCTCTCTTTGCATCCCCGCCCCTAAACCCCCTCAACCCTTGGTGTTTGGGGTTTGGGGTGGAGGGTTAAAGTCCCTTTTGCAGGCCTGAATTTTTCTGGGGGCATCTCATCGCAACAAACCCCCAACACGCCCCGAACCCCAAAATCTACCGAGGAACCCCAACTTGACTTGGGGTACCTGGCGTTCTCACTGTAACCATAAGCCGTAACTTGAGCAAAAAGCCGGCTTTTGGGGTACCGGGGCATTCACCCTGACCCTAAACTTTAGTAAACCCTAGAAGACACAACCCTAGAAGACCGTAAACCCTAAACCCTAGACCCTAAACCCCAAACCCCAAACCCTAAACCCTAAACCCCAAACCCCAAACCCTAAACCCTAAACCCTAAACCCTAAGCCCTAAACCCTGAACCCTGAACCCTGAAACCCTAAGCCTCTGAGGACTCTTCGGCGGGGAGGGGTCAGTGTTGGAGCGACGCTGGGCCTCGTCACTCTAAAACCAAAACCCAAACCCCACCAGAAGAGCCCAAAGCCTACCTCATTTTTTTGTTCCTGCTATGTAAGATTCCTAGGGCGTACCGGAAAGTAGGACTGTTGGGCTCGGAAGGCAAACCCTAAGCCCTAAACCCTGAACACGAAACCCTAGACCCTAAACCCTGGACCCCAAACCCTAAACCCTAAACCCTAAATCCTGAACCCTAAACCATAAACCCTAAACCCAAAACCCAAAACCCTAACCCCTAAACCCTAAACCCTAAACCCCAAAACGTGCCAGGGGCCTCTGGCAGCTCAAAGTCCCGGACGAGCCGCTCTCGGATGATGACGGTCACGTCCCCATCCTGGTTTCGGGTTTAGGGTCTATAGGGTTTAGGGCTTAGGGTTTAGGGTTTACGGTTTAGGGTTTAGGGTTTAGGATTTAGGGTTTAGGGTTTAGGGTTTAGGGCCTATAGGGTTTCGGGTTTAGGGTTTAGTGTTTATAGGGCTTAGGGTAGGGTTTAGGGTTCAGGGTCTGTAGGGTTTTCGGGTTTATTGGTTCTAGGGTTTATAGGGTCTAAAGGGTTTAGGGCTTCGGTTTTAGGGTCTATAGGGTTTGGGGTTTAGGGTCTGGGGCTTGGGGCTTTGCGGAAAAGGGGGTGCCAGGGTTTGGGGTTTGGGCTTACTTAGTCTCTATATCTGTGTTCATACTTGCCCTTATGCAAAAGCCTAGTATACAGGCCCGCATGGTATGAGGGGGCGTGCACTTCACTCCCAGATGAAAGTTCCAGGCTTTTGGGAGTAGGCTTTAACCCGAAACACTAAGCCCCAAACCCTAGTGGTTTTATGAAGTTAGGATTGGGATGTTCCCCTTGTACTAACAGTCCATTATCGGGATTGTAGTACCCCTATTATAAATCCCGATTGAGGACCGTTAGTATAAGTCAAGATTTCATGTCTCTGCTTGAGGGTCTTTGATGCATTTGGGGCTAAACCCCAAAGCCCTGAACCCTGCGAACGCCAAACCCTACACCCTAAACTCTAGACCCTAAACCCTAAACCCTAAACCCTAAACCCTAAACCCCAAACCCAAGGAAGCCTACCACGTGCCTGCCACAAGCCACTTGATGCCAGGAACTGCAGCTTAGCCTCCTGAGCTTGGGGTTTAGGGTTTTAGGGTTTAGGGTGTGGGGTTGGTTTAGTGTTTAGGGTTTCGTGGTTTAGGGTTTGGGGTTTGGGGTTTGGGGTTTAGAGTTTAGGGTTTCGGGTTTTAGGGTTTAGGGTTTGAGGGTTGAGGGTTTCGGGGTTTAGGGTTTGGGGTTTAGGGTTTCGGGGCCTGGGGTTTGGGGCTTAGGGTTTGGGGTTTAGGGTTTCAGGGTTTAGGGTTGCGGGGTTTAGGGCTTGGGGAAAAAGGCTTGAGGTTTAGGGTTTGGAAGGTTTAGACCCCAAGTTTGGTGGTTTTTATGGGCGTTCAGGGGGTCGCGGAAGGAAGGGTTTAGGCGTGATGGCGGAGCCTGGGGGTTCTGCGGGAAGAAAACTAGCGGTTTAGGGAAGTAGCTGATCGGGCCTTCAGGCGTGAGGGTTTAAGGTTCCCTTATAAGTTAGGGTTGCGGGTTTAGGGTTGGGATATTCCCCCTTATGCTAACAGTCCTTAATTGGGATTATAGTACCCCCTAGTCTAATCCCTATGAATGTTTGTATAAGGGGAACATGCCAGGTTTAGGGTGTAGGGCCCAAGGAACCTTTAAGCACTACCCAAGGAGAACTGACGACGTGCGAGCCTGTGGCTGAACATTACTTAAAGGATCATGGGCTTAGTAGGAAGGGTCAAACTTAGGGCAACTATAGTTACAATTACTTGTATGCCCCTACTTACTAAGTCCCATGATCCTCCAAGTAGACTACCTCGCCCAGCAGCTAAGAAACGACGTGTCCCACGCACCGATTCGCACAAAACACTCATCCGAAACACCGTCCTGATATGCCAAGCCCACAAGCATACATACCCTAAACCCGAAACCCTAAATCCTAAACCCTCAGCCCAGCATTCTCCATTGAGCGCGCGAATGCGGAGTGCATACGGGCATCTATTCAGCTTGATAAGAGGAGTTTTGGTGTAGCTTGTGGGGTTGATGCCAACCATAGGACAAGCCCCCGCCCATGACTAAACCCTAAACCCTAAACCCGAAACCCCAAACCCTAAACCCTAAACCCTAAATGACGGGACTCTCCAGAACTTTCGCAACTTCCAGCGCCAAGCCAAAAAGAAAGCAACGCACGACCTTATAAGTGCTACACTTGGGAAGCGTAAGCCCTGTCAGCTCTCCCGAAACCCTAAACCCTAAACCCTAAACCCTAAACCCTAAACCCTACACCCTAAACCCTAAACCCTAAACCCTAAACCCTAAACCCTAAATCCTAACCCCGCATGGAGGCAAGGAGCGTTGACCCACGCGGCCTCGAAGTCGCCATTGGTCAGGTCTACGCCGACCTAGGTGCTGAGTTTAGGGAATCGTAACCCTAAACACAGGGTTCCCCCTAAACCCTAAACCCTAAACCCTAAACACTAAACCCTAAACCCTAGAACCCTGAACCCTCAGCCCGAAAGCCAAGGAGTGTCATGGGCCCTGGCCCTGGGTTCTAGCAAGTTAGGCCTAGCGGGTTCACTTGCGGGTCAAAATGCCGCCGAGTCACGTGTACGCCAAGAGCCATGTTTTCAGCGCATGCTGAAAACATCGTTATTTGTGGGTTTTCGTATCGTTTTTCATGTCCATGTTTTTTTGACATGGAATCGGCTCTTCTGTTCACGTTTTCTTTTTTGACGCGGTTTTTTTTTGGGGGGGGGGGGCGTTTTTGCGCGCGTTTTTGTTGCCTGCATACGTGCGTGTGTCGAAAAGCATGGCCTGCGTGGGCTAATCGACACTCTTTTGTAATGATTTTTTTCATCGTTTTGAGTTGCCTCCGTTTGCGCTTTTTCTGCGTTCTCGCGTGCGGTTTTGGGGGGGTGGGGAGGATGGGGGGGGGGGGGGGGGGGGGTGGGGGGGTGGGGGGGGGGGTGGTTACGACCATGTTCCTGTAACCATGCCCAAAAACACCGGTATTTACAGCGTTTTTGCTTCTCTCTAACCCCAACAACACAAACCTTATCCCAAACGGGAATCCTGACAAACCCTCCGAACCTATATCTTAGATAAAAACATACTCTCAATAATGATTTTTTCCCGGCCTAAAAAAACAAAAACCCTGTAAATTACGATACAAAACCACCCCCGCAACTGAACCCGCAGGGAAGTTAGGGGGTTGAGGGGCTTGAGGGGCTCGAGGCTTCGGCTAGGGTTGAGGGCTGCTGTGCAGTGAATAAGGGTGTCGGCTTTAGGGTTTTGGGGTTTCGGGTTTCGAGTTTCGGGTTTAGGGGGTGCTCACAGCATCACCGCTTTTGACACATAAGCTGGGCCCTTAGCAATTCTTCTAACATGACAGTCAGGACCGGAACGAGCAGGCTCATGCATATATATATATATATATATATATATGGGCACATATATCTACACACATACATACACGCATGAGTGTGTGTGTGTGTGTAATTACTTTTGGTTTCGCATATTCTAACTTTAATTGCACACCCCACCAAGAACTAAAGAACTGTAGATCAATCGGCCGCGCAAAATAAAAAGGTGGATGTCCTGCGCCGACAGCCGGCTACCTTTCAACCTCTGCACACGCACATGCTCAAGACCTACTTCTGGGTTTTATAGGGTTTAGGGCTTGGGGTTTAGGGTTTGAGGTTTAGGGTTTAGGGCACCAGAGCGACAAGCTCCTGCACAGAAGCAAGCCGGGGGGCGCGAATTCGTCGCACGCGCACCTGAGATAGCTGACTTCTGCAGAGTCTCACCCATATTACTAGGGATTACTCGGGTGTTGGGGTTTGATGGTTAGGGGAGTCCTTGCCTATTTAGGGCCCTCACCCTAGGATAAAATCTATCTCAAGATCTCGCCCCCCCCCCCACCCTAGGACAGAAATCTATCTTAACATCTCAGCCGCAATAGTAGGATGTCCACACCAAAACCCAAATCGAGAGTTACCATCCTAGGAATAATGTTTCCAATCATCTGAGTGCCATAAGCCTAACTAGGCAAGGAGGGTTTGTAGAATTTGGTTCAGAATTTGGGTTAAGGATTGTAACAGCAATGTAATTATGACGAAAAACTGCTTCTGTAGTATAGTTACCTCATAGCACCCTAGTACAAAAGGTATCTCAATCATTACGCTGTCCTGGCGCTTACCAAATCACATAGAGTAGTTCTCCAGAAACAGATCATTCATCAACAAATCCTGGACCTCCCAAACGGCAGAAATTTCTGTTGTTTCAAGAAAAAAATGTTTTTCGGGCCAAGTTGAGGAAAAAATGCTCAGCGACATTTTTCACATTTCAGCACTTTTGTTGCTGCTGAAGGTTTTGGCGGCGGCGTTATTTGCCGTTCAACAGGCGTTATTTGGCGTTCTAAAGGCGCTATTTCCCGTTCGTCGGCACTTGCTGTTTTTGCTCAAAACCAAGACGATCTTTTTTCTCGAAAAACGCGTTTTTCCAAAGCAACGACTGAATTTTCATTACTTTCAAGCAACGGCGGAAATTTTTGTTCCTGGGGAGGTGCAGGATTTCTTACATTGTCAAACGCTTCTTGTATTTCAGGCTTGTTTTATCTGCTACTTTTGTTTTCTTGGTTTCTTTCCTCTTTGCTCTGCAATTTATGAAGTTGCGCCAAGGTTGGTCCAATCTATTGAACCCGAACACTTCGGCAGCTTCAACTTCAACCATCAAAAGATGACACAACCACCAGTGCTCATAAATATTCGAAGCTAAGCAACAGGAGAGCAACAACAAATGCACATTGGTACAGCAGAGCCCTGAACCCAAAACCCTAAACCCTAAACCCTGGACCCCAAACCCCAGAACAAAACGAGCGTGAGCTGGCAAAGCACCGGCTGTGAGAATGTAGCCACCAGCGAGGCTTCCTTGATCGGGCTTCGGGTGGACATATGAAGGTGTTCAGGATGTTTAACTAGGATGGCCCTTAAAAAAACTCTGAACAATATGACTGGATAAGATCCTCTTGAACCCAAGAGGGGAAAGTCTACATGTCCCAAGGGCCTACCGAGTTAAGGTGCTTCAAGGTATTGAAGGTATTCAGGGAACTCAAGCTACTACTGCATGTGCTTAAGAACACCCCCCCCCTCAAAACAAAAAAAACATAAAAACATAATAATCCCTAAATTACCAGTACAAGTAAACATATTGTTCTTTTTTCCCACTTTTTGGGTGGCTCCTGAGCAAGTAGTAGTATTCCGGATATTAAAGGTATGTAGGCTTCAGGGCTCACCAGAGGCTTGCGGCACACTGCTGGGAGTGCTACAGAGCTTCAGTCTTAGGGCCTTCCTGCAATTTAGGGGTTTTAGGGTTTAGGGTTGAGGGATTAGGGTTTAGGTAGGAAGGGCCGAGGTCTACTGGAAGTTCAAATTCGCCCCTGAAACCCAAAGCCTAAACCCTGAAGCCCAAGTATAGGGGCCTTAATAAGTAGAATAGGGTTTTGGCGGCCATCATAGTGTAACTGTATAGGGGCCATAAAGGAACACGATTAGAAACTATTCCGATCCCTTTAGTAGACCCTAAACCCCCTAACCGAAAACTCTGTGCAAGAAGCCTGCCAATCATTGCCGGCTGTTGCAGGCTCATGTCGCCAGACACTGATGTTGGTTTAAAGTTTCAAGCTTAAAGGTGGCAACCCACCCGGCATGTACCCTACGCCTCAACGGAGGGGGTTCATCAAACCCTAAACCCGAAACCCTGAACCCTAAACCCTTCACGAGATTTTTCATGAGGCCCCCCAAGCAGACCCTTTCGGCCAGAGCTTCGGAGCAACCAGATGTGCCGCAAGCGCCTCATGCAGGGGGCAGGGTCTGTATGCCGGAGGTTGGAGAATTGTAGAATAATCTAGGTATAGGTCACCCAAAACCTCCCTAAACCCTAAACCCTTCGAGGGTTTGGGGACGCATCGAAACGCCTTTTCGGATTCAGCCGGAGGATCTAGGGTTCAGGGATTATTAGGGTTTGGGTGCAGGGATTGGTTGCCCAATCAATGCAGACTCATTCTCCCTTAGTACTCGTAAGGGCTCTCTGAGATTCCATCAGGTTTCCTTAGTGGCCCCCCCCCCCTTCCCCCTGCTTCCCTTAAGAATGGCTGCCGCTGAAACGTAAACTGTCGTGTCCACAAAGCCTAGACCATAAGCAAGAGCAGCTCTCCAGATGACTGCAATCTTGCGATCGGAGGACACGTGGATGGCTCCGGAGGGGGAGGACCAAAGCCACACGGATCTGCTTCAAAGCGTGGCTCCCTTCTTCGGGTGCAGATGCCACAAGGCCGGGCTCCGCAGGTCCATCCGATTTTCGACGTTCTCACGCCTCTGCGGAACCAGATGCAAGCTCAGCAACGACAGATGCAGCCGCAAAAGCCTCCACGAAGGAACATGGCCGGTCGACAGAGGGGTCAGACTCAGAATCCAGACGCTTCCCTGGAGAAGGCTACCCTAACCCTCAACCCTAAACCATGATTTCAAGCTTCGCCGTTGCATGCCGCACCGGGCCTAAACCCTAAACCCTAAACCCCTGGGTTTAGGGTTGGAGCCCAAGAACGTTTCACATACCACTGAATACGGTACATGTGGTCATACCCCTGAATCCCTGAAACCTGGGAGCTCACGACCCCGAAACCTAGATATCCGGAACCTGGGGATGTAACACTAAGCCTTAAACCCTAAACCCTAAACCCTAAACCCTAAACCCTGAACCCTGAACCCTGAACCCTAAACCCTAACCCTAAACCCTAAACCTTAAACCCTGAAACCCCAAGCCCTCAACCCATGCAAGGCACCTGCCCCGGACGATAGGTCGGCGGAGGTCAGCGCCTTCACTGTCGCACAGCGATCTCTCTGTGGGTTAGGTGTGTGGTGGGTAGGGTTTAGGGTTTATGGGGTTTAGGGTTTAGGGTTTAGGGCTTGGGGTTTAGGGCTTAGGGTTGAGGATGGAGGGTTGAGGGTTGAGGGTTGAGGGTTGAGGGTCGAGGGTTGAGGGGTGTATGGTTCAGGGTTTAGGGTTTACGGCTACAGCCTCTATGCCCTTAAAGGCGTAAAATCGACCCTTCATCTCCAGATGTGTGCTTTTCTGTCTGGGGTGGGGAGGGGTTATGGCCTGCGTTGTCCGGAAGTTGGGCGGCATTCCAAGAAACCTAGGCAGCCAGCCCGATACCCCTCCACTAAAGATGTGTTTTTTGCCGGTGGCTTTAGGGCCTGGGATCTACGACTCCTAAAGAGATCTTCACATAATCTGAATGGCGGTACTTTCCTTGAAGAATATGTCTTGGGCCCTGGGCAAGCTCCACCCTAAGCCCTAAACCCTGTAAGCCAATAGTCATTTGAAAAATGCACAAAACGCCACACAAGCAAAGGACCCCCATCGTTTCAAGGGGCAGATGCCGAAGAACCCTGCGCCCTCAACGCCGTAGCTAACCCTCAGGGTTTAGTCTTTGTGAAATCCCTAAACCCTAAACCCTGTAAACCCCGAACCCTCAACCCTCTCCCCCAAACTCCAAAGTCTGAACCCCAAAAAGCCCCCTAAACCCTAAACCCTGAACACTAAACCTAAAACCCGAACCGTAAACCCTCAGATTAAAGAGGGGAGCGGAGGGGGGAGGGTAGGGGACGAAACTATAAACATTCCAAGCCATCACCCTTTGAACTTTGAACCTCAGCCCAAAAGTGCGCTCCGCGTGCCAGTCCTGAAGTTTAATTAGGGTGCAGGGTTTAGGGTAGTTTCGGGTTCGGCAGGATACCCGGCCTCGTAGGTGTTCTCGAGGCCATTGTCCTAGATACTTTTCGAGAGACCCCTACGCCCTCGAGATCCTAAACCCTAAACCTATGTGGGAGGGGGGGGTTTCGAAATTAGGGGTACCTTATTGGGGTCCCTTTATATGGGGATCCTACTACCATTTGGGGAGCTGTATTGGGGGGGTGCCTCTTTTCCTAAACCCTAAACCCTAACCATAAACCCTAAACCCTAAACCCGAACACCTAAACCCTAGAGGACCACAGGCGGACAACAGGGAGTACGAGATTCAGGACACAACAAGCAGGCCAAGGAGGCTCAGGCGGGCAACTGTACCGGAACGTGGCCAGACGCAAGGAGCAGGCCAGGGAGGCTCAGGCGGGCAACTGTAACCCTAAGCCCTAAGCCGTCATTAGCTCCCTGTCCTGGAGGGGCCTTTCACAAGGAGTTCTCCGAGTGATGCCACAAAAAGCAGCCCTCCCGTAGGGTTAGGTTGTTGTGCCGCCCGCGTAGCTGACTGGAAGTCGCACAGCCAGGTGGCAGAGGTTTCATAGGCTAGGTCTTTAGGGTTTAGGGTTTAGGGTTTTAGGGTTTAGGGTTTAGGGTTTAGGGTTTAGGGTTTAGAGCTTAGGGTAAGAAACCCCAGCTTCCGAAATGGACGTAGGTTTGCGGTTTCAGGCTTTTCGAGAGGGGCTTGGATTCAAGGGTCAGGGTGGGGATGCTCGAAGTAGCATTTTGTGTTTTTCTTTGGGTGGGGATCGAGAAGTCTAGGGAGTCATTTTTTGGTGGGGGTGTGGGGGTTTAGGACTTGGGATTCCGATCAGGGTTTGAGATTCCTGGTTGGCTCAAGATTTTTGCCATTTTGCTTCCCAGAGTTCTGATGCAAACAACTCGTCCTAGTTTGGTTGGAGCCCGGCTTATACTTTTGTGGGTGACATGTCGTGTAAGAAACAAAAGGACAAAGCCGGATGCTCGAACCTTTGCCTGTACAAGCCTCAATCGCCGAACCACAAATCCAAACACACTCTGATCTAAACGCTTCTTCGCTCAAGACACTCGGGGGGTAGAATCCTAAAACCTCTCAAGCCTCGCATGAGCTATTCGTAGTCGCGTCTCTATACCCAAGCAGTAGGGGGAATGGTGAACAGGTTCCATCTTCCCAGCTGTTCCACGCTACGCCGTAATCCCCCAACCCCCAAACCCCCAAAACCTGACAAACCTGAGGCCTTTCGAACCTCCAAACCTTAAATCTCAACCACTGAACCTTCAACCCTGAGCCCCTAAACCTTAAACCCCAACACCCCGAAACTTGGGATGTGCCCCCTGATACTATTGGTTGGGATTATGGTACCCCTTTTTAAAATCTGTTAAGGACTGTTAGTATAAGGGGGAACATCCCAACCCTAAACCCTAAACCCTAAACCCTGAACCCTGAAACCTGAACCCTGAACCCTGAACCCCTGAACCCTGAACCCCTGAACTAAACCCTGAACCCTAAACCCTAAACCCTTATGGCGGGCTCGGGATCTGCTTGAGGCAGCACCGAGAGTTCCCAACGGAGCCCCTTGGCCGCGGATGGAAGCAGCCTCGGGCGGAGGGTTCGTTTTTGCTTATTGACATTTTTTGTTTGTTGGGGGGGTCGTTAGGTCTTAGGGTTAGGGTGTCGGGCCTGTTTAGGGTTTACGGACTCTTGGCTGGAGGGGGGGTGGGGGGGCACGGGATTTCTGACATCTCCTAGAGACTCCATTCAGGGCGTAAGGGAAGGGCCGCCGCACCTTAAACCATGAACCGTAAAACCCTAAAAGCCTAGAAATTAGGGACCGAACCTTTCAAAGTCTAAACCCTGGACCCTGGAATCCTGAATCCTAAGCCCACAGCCCCGAAACCCTAAACGCCGCACCCCTGAACCCCAAAAACCCTAAACCCTAATCCCTAAACCCCTAAACCCCGAAAACCCCAAAAGAGAAGAAACAAAGAATGGCTCACGCAGTGCCCTCCGCCTCCGAGCCAGCAGGCTTGGGCCAAGAAGCCGATCGTAACCCACCGCGACTTCGCGCAGGACCTGCGCGCAACGGCGTGAGGGTTGAGGGTTGAGGGTTAGGGTTCAGGGTTCAGGGTTCAGGGTCCAGGGTTCAGGGTTCAGGGTTCAGGGTTTAGCGTTTAGGGTTCAGGCTTTAGAGCACCTTGGGGTTCAGGGACGAGGCCTACAACCTGGCTTCAAAAATGGAGGGAGGTGGGGATGGGGGATTCTGATTTCCAAAAAAGGGTTTGGGGTTTAGGGTTTAGGGTTAAGGGTTTGGGGTTTAGGGTTTAGGGTTCACAAGGAATTTCGCATCTTGGGGGACTATTTGGGGTAGCCCTGTTGTGGGAAGTACCCATGTAGCATATGAAGGCTACCAAGTATATTGCGGGCATTTATACTTCGAGAACCCGAACAAAGGGGCTGAAATTTGCCCCAGTGCCCGTGCTCTGTTATCCTAAACCCTAAACCCTAAAAACCCTCAACCCAAAACCCAACACCCTAAACCCTCAACCCTAACTCGCAAGGCTTGTATGGAGATACCAGGATGGTGAGACCTCGATGGGGATGGGTGGAGTCAGTGGCGGCGCCGATTCTGGCACAGCTGCAGCAGCAAAAGGTGGACCGTAGCCGGGCCTCACTCCAATGAGCCCGCCAATCGGACGACCAGCCGCCTGCATAAGGGTGTCTTTTTAACTGCGCAGGCAAACCTGGCCTAGGATTTAAAAACCCACCGGCCTGGGCCAACACCTTGGCCGTGGGCTGCTTGGGGCCCGCCTTCGCGTCGAAGTAGGGACCAAAGCCGTACAAGCGGTTTATCCCGAGAGGCTTTGCCCATGATCAGCAAGAGAGCGTGGCAGCACAAAGAAAGACTAAATGATCATGTGATCATGTGAACACTATGATTCCGACGAGTTTAGGGTTTAGGGTTTTGGGGTTTAGGGTTTAAGGGTTTAGGGTTTAGGGTTTAGGGCTTAGGGTCTAGGGTTTAGCGCCGAGCACGTGGTGTTGTAGACCTGATGCCGGCTTAGGCTAACTAGTGTGCGTGTGTGTGTGTGTGTGTATAAACATAAAAAGAAAATTGGCAAAGTAACTGTCATTCGTGAAAAAGATGATGCTGCTCTTAAATCCCCCTATTCCCCCTGATGGTCCTGTACAAGGCTGTCAAACACGTGCGAATTAATTCAAGTAAATTTACGGTAATATATTATACAAACATGCTACGGTTTATAATTAATTTATTTGATATTAAATAAAATATATATTGTAATAAATATGATTTTGGATAATACGTATATAACAAAACAGAGAAAATAACAAAACCAAAACAAAATAACAAAAACAGAGTTAAATTGTGTGTGTGTGTGTGTGTTTGTGTGTGTCTCTGTGTGTGTGTGTGTGTGTGTGTGTGTGTGTCTGCGTCTGCGTGCGTCTGCGTGCGTCTGCGTGTGTCTGCGTGTGTCTGCGTGTGTCTGCGTGTGTCTGCGTGTGTCTACGTGTGTCTGCGTGTGTCTGCGTGTGTCTGCGTGTCTCTGCGTGTGTCTGCGTGTGTCTGCGTGTGTCTGCGTGTGTCTGCGTGTGTCTGCGTGTGTCTGCGTGTGTCTGCGTGTGTCTGCGTGTGTCTGCGTGTTTCTGCGTGTGTCTGCGTGTGTCTGCGTGTGTCTGCGTGTGTCTGCGTGTGTCTGCGTGTGTCTGCGTGTGTCTGCGTGTGTCTGCGTGTGTCTGCGTGTCTGTGCGTTTCTGTGCGTGTCTGTGCGTGTCTGTGCGTGTCTGTGCGTGTCTGTGCGTGTCCGTGCGTGTCTGTGCGTGTCTGTGCGTGTCTGTGGGTGTCTGTGGGTGTCTGTGCGTGTCTGTGGGTGTCTGTGGGTGTCTGTGGGTGTCTGTGGGTGTCTGTGGGTGTCTGCGGGTGTCTGTGGGTGTCTGTGTGTCCGTGTGTCCGTGCGTCCGTGGGTCCGTGGGTCGGTGTGTCTGTGTGTCTGTGTGTCTGTGTGTCTGTGTGTCTGTGTGTCTGTGTGTCTGTGTGTCTGTGTGTCTGTGTGTCTGTGTGTCTGCGTGTCTGTGTGTCTGTGTGTCTGCGTGTCTGTGTGTCTGTGTGTCCTTAGCTTACATATCCTTAGGCCTCCAAACCCTAAACCCTAAGCCCTAAACCCTAAACCCTAAACGCTAAACCCTAAACCCTAAACGCTAAACCCTAAACCCTAAACCCTAAACGCTAAAACCTAAACGCGCCCAACCTCTGTGAGGAGGCTGCCTGGCAGCACCTCCAAGGCACCCCTGGCCGTCAAGGAGGCTTCGGTTTGGGCTTCAGGGTGGTTGGGATTTGGGTTTAGGGTTTGGGATTTGGGTTTAGGGTTTAGGGTTTGGGGTTTAGGGTTTGGGATGTGGGTTTTAGGGTTTAAAGGCTTGGGTTCAGGGTGCTTGGGATTTACGCCCTATCCTGAACCTGCGTTCAGGGAGGCTTTGCTTGAGGGTGGAGGTTTGTCGGGGTCTAGGGTTTAGGGTCTAGGGTTTAGGGTTTGGGAAGGGGGGCGAAGGGGGTGGAAGGGGGTGGAAGGGGGTGGAGGTTGGGGGGGGGGGGGGGGGGGGGGGGGGGGGGGGGGGGGGGGGGGGGGGGGGTGGAGGGGTGGTAGATAGTTCTGAAACCTGACCCCTCTTTCAAGCTGCTGCCCCTCTTGCCGCTTGAGCAGAACAACACTAAGCCCTACAGGACTTATATGGAAAGCTCTCAGCAAGTCCCAACCCCCCCTCCCCTTACCCCCCAAACCCTAAACCCTGAACCCTAAAAACCCCAAAAACCCTAAAAACCCTAAAAACCCTAAAAACCCTAAAAACCCTAAAAACCCTAAAAATCTAAAAACCCTAAAAACCCTAAAAACCCTAAAAATCTAAAAACCCTAAAAACCCTAAAAACCCTAAAAACCCTAAAAACCCTAAACCCCCCAGCCCCTTTCGCAGCCTGAGCGCGAGCTCCTTGAAGTGATGCACCGTCATTCGCAGTGCCCACTGCCTGAGTCCCAAAGGCTCCATGTACCCTTATAGTCTGCGAAAGGGCTGGGGGTTTAGGGTTTAGGTTATAGGGTTTAGGGTTTAGGGTTTAGGGTTTAGGGTTTAGGGTTTAGGGTTTAGGGTAGGAACCCCTTTAAGGCCTAGGTATCTACTATATGGGTACATGGAGCCTTTGGGAGTGTCTTGGGGGCCTAAGGTCGGCCTTGGGAGTCCCATCGGCCCTACGGAACCCTACAAGTACCACAGGGTTTAGGGTTTAGGGGTTAGGGTTTAGGGTTTGGGGTTTGGGGTTTAGGGCTTAGGATTTAGGGTTCAAAGCTATAAACCCCCTAAAGCCCCAAACGCATAAACCCCGGCACCCTGAAACCCTGAAACCCTAAAACCTATAAACTCTAAACTCTCAACCCCCATAAAGCTAGAAGCCCGAACGCTCAGAAGCCTGAAGTCCGAAGATCCTTTTCCAAATAACCCGCCCTCGCGTTGCTGATCTCTCAGGACCCTAAACCCTAAACCCTAAACCCTAAACCCTAAACCCTAAACCCTAAACCCTAAACCATAAACCCTAAACCCTAAACCCTAAACCCTAAACCCTAAACCCTAAACCCTAAACCCTAAACCCTAAACCCTAAACCCTAAACCCTAAACCCTAAACCCTAAACCCTAAACCCTAAACCCTAAACCCTAAACCCTAAGCAAGCTGTCCATTCCTAGGCTTCCATTCCTAGGCTTGAGTGCTTTAGGTTGGGATGTTCCACCCCTATACCAACAGTGCTTAATAGGGATTCGAGTACCTCCTACTATAATTACAGTCCTTAAGAATCCTTAGTAGGGATTTCTAGTACACCCCATTCTCATCCCTATTTTAAGGAGCTGTTAGTATAGGGGGGAAACATCTCAAGCTTTAGAGTTTAGGGCCATGGAATGGCTAAAGTGGAAAACCGTAAAAGTCACAAACAACAACTCAAGTTCTACGCTGGGGCCCTGCTTGAAGGTTTGCGGGTAGTGATAAATATAGGGTCCCCCCTCCCACCCCACCCCCCACCCCCCACCACCCACAACAAAAAGGTGTAAAGCATCATCTAATCTAACCCGCTACAGCTGTAAACGCTATAGAAGCCCGGTACCCTAGAGCCTAAACCTTCTATCCCCCTATATTTCCCTCGTGATGCCGCCAGGAAGAACTACCCCCTGAACCTCCAAGTACATACCTGGACCCCCAAAGTTTTTAAAAAAAAAACAAAAAAACTGCCCAAAACCCTTAAAAAAGGGCTATTATTTTACATATTTTGGGGGTTGAGGTAAGGCTCAACCCCCAAGCAGAAGGGACCCAAAGCTGCCTAGGCAAACAGCTGCGCCGGTTACGGCTTAGGGCTTAGGGCGAAGCCCTAAGCGGGCTTCGGCCTTAAGGATTAAGGCTGAGGGCTTGAGGCTTAGGGCTTAGCGTCACAAATGCAAACCCGCACGGATGGAAGTCCCACGACACACATCCTCAACACCAACAGACCTCCCAATGAAAATGCTAGGTATGCTTTCTTAAAACTTGGGACCCTGGCCACCGGTTTAGGGCCTAGTTTAGGGTTTAGGATTTAGGGTGTTGGGTTTAGAGTTTAAGGCCTCAGGGTTCAGACACCGAAACCGATCAACCCAGTTCCTCGCGGTCCAGGCAACTTTAATCTCACAGCTCCCAGCTCGTTGGCCTGGGGTTCGCGTGGAAAACCCAGCCATTAAAAACAAAAACAACGCAAAATAGGGGCCTGAATAATTAGAATAAGGCTTCGGGGGAGGTTTTATAGTATATTTTGTATAGGGGCCATAAGGGAAGACGACTAGCAATTATTCCGACCCCTATAGTCACCCGAAAGAATATTTTTAAGGTCCTGTTTACCTAAATCCGTCGACCGAACTCTCCAATAGATTAGGGCTTTGCAGTGGCTTGGGTCAAGATGGTTTCGGAGGTTTCTGGTGTGACGCTTGTGGAGCTTAGGTTTGATGTAAGCTTCAAAGCCTGCTGCTATAACCACATGCTCGACTACATATATATATATATATGCACATACACATATATGTCTATGTGTGAACATATGCATCCATGAAACTGTGATTATAGCTCTTATACATACAGATATATATATATATATATATACATATATATATATATACATATACAAACTAAACACACTAATGATGTACTGTAGTATGTTCGTGTTACTGCCCCATACATTTGTTCCCTGCAAGTTTGTGGGTTTTGGGTTGGCTGTGGCGCTGCGGCTTGACCACAAGAAAAGAGCACTCCGACCTCTAAGTAGCTTCACATTTACGGATTCTGCAACAAAAAGGCAACACCAAACAAGAGCTACGCAGTGGGTGTTTTGGGAATGCTTGACTTGCGAAGTTCAGCAGACACCAGTTGACTGGGTTCTGACCCTAAACCCTAAACCCTAAACCCTAAACCCTAAACCCTAAACCCTAAACCCCCGGGTTTAGGGTTAAGGTTTGAAGGTAAGGAATCAGGGGTCAGGATGAATGCTTGAGGATTAGGGTTACCCTAAGGGTCCATGTACCTATGTAGTATATACGTGGCCTTTAAAAAGGGGTTTAGGGTTTAGGGTTTAGGGTTTTTATGGTATAAGAGTAGTTAGGGTGCAAGTATATACTGTAAAGGTACATGGACCCTTAGGGTTCTAAGGGTGAAGGCCTTGGATAGCAATCTCCACCGCCGAGCGCAAACCAGCGAAAGCCACGCACGCACCTGCACGAGGAGCTTGATGATCTCATCCTCATCCTCGCCCGCCTCAGCATTGAACAGGTTCTAGGGTTTAGGGTTTAGGGTATAGGATTCAGGATTCAGGGTTTGGGGTTCGGCTGGGGGAAGAAACGAGCATACATCACATCGAACATGCCGGGGCATAAAGAACACCCCATGATCCCCCCTATACACTATATATGGTAAGAGCAATGCATATATATATATATATATATATATGGACACATCCCCCCCATGACCCACCTAGATCTGTTTCCCTCGTAAATACGGATTTCTTACTCCGACACGGCCTCCCGGTGGGTCATGGGGGGGGGGCGGGGGGTGAGCATATATGTACAAATACATATATATATATATATATAATATCTATATATGTATATATTGAGGCTACACAGAATTCCATTCTATTTGAACTAGGTCCGTGTATGATTGCAAGGTGAAAGGATAAATCGGGCGGCAAAGGTACGGGCTGGGGGCGCACTATTCAAACCCAGAAAAGTTAAGGCCCTAAGCACAGAGACCCCAAATACTTTAGCGTTTAAACCCTGCAACCCTTAAACCTCTCATCCAAAAAAACCCAACTACTCAACCCCACCCAGGACCCCCTGAACCCTAAACCCTAACCTGAAACCCTAAACCCTAAACCCCGTGTGCTCAGCCCAGCAGCTGCGCTCTCAGCGGCAGCCTCGGCCGCGCGTCGGAGTGTGGCAGCGTCATGGAGCCTTCTCGCGGTTTAGGGTTTAGGGTTTAGGGTTTAGGGTTTAGGGTTTAGGGTTTAGGGTTTAGGGTTTAGGGTTTACGGTCTAATTCGGATGTATGAACCTTGTGGGCTAAATGAACCTTTAAACTTGGGGTCATATACCCCATACTACTACAATCTCGATTCGGGTATATGGACCATGAACCCTTTTGTACAGGGTTCATCTAGTCTCCCAGGAAGTTTACGATTGCATAGGGGCTTGTGCGCTCCACTTATCTTATGCTCGCCGGGGCCACTGACTAGAGCAAGTCGAGGCGATTGCCGCAATTGAGGCAATTTAAATGCAGTGCGCAAGGTGCAATAGTTCGAATGTCTTAGGAACCGTGCAGTGCACCATAACCCACTTTCTCGCCACATCTGTCCGGGAGTCTTTGTGACTTAATAGCCCGCTGTAGGGCTTCCAGAGCTTTGGGCTTAGGTGTCTGGGGGCCGAACAGGCTGAGCTCCAAGGATTCTTCTTCGAGCTTCCGCATTTAGAGGCTGGGGTTGCCGCTCTCTCTCCTCTGCCTTAAAATTCGAGTCCGGAAGGCACTGCTGGAACCCATGGGTCTCCAAAAAGGATGTGGTTCGATGCAAATCGTGCTTCCGCATGGCTGTTCCACTGCGCAAAACTATGGCCCAGACCCCGAACCCTAAACCCTAAGCCCCAAACCTTGAGCCGCACATCCCAACCGTTGGAGGAACCTGAACCAAGTGAAGCATGGGGTCCCCTAACGACACAGCTGGCTGAGGTGCTGGCCTCGGTGTAGGGTTTAGGATTTAGGGCTCAAGATCTATATGTGCCCTAAGCTCTTCCACCCTGAAGCCCCCACCCACCCCCCGAACCCCCCCAAGCTTGAACCAGGCGATGCTGGCTCAGCGTTCGGCGTTCGGGTTAAGGGTTTAGAGGAGGCTTCTTGCCTTTGTCTTGCTTGGATAGAGATCGAAACTGCAAGAATCTTGAAACCTGGGTTTAGGGTCATTTAGGGTCATTTAGGGTCATTTAGGGTCATTTAGGGTCATTTAGGGTCATTTAGGGTCATTTAGGGTCATTTAGGGTCATTTAGGGTTTCGGGAACCCTAAACCCCAAAACCTCTGAATACCAGGTGGCTGAAGAAAGCCACCGGAGCTGTCGCCCTCGTCGCCTCCGTTGTTTGCATACCGCACTAGGGTCTAAGGGTAGATATGGGCCCTTGAATGGGGTCTCTTATGTACTTCTGATGTACCCTGTACAAGCCAAGAGCGCACACTTCCGAACCTTTTAAAAAAAGGTAAGGGGCCATAATCGGGGACCATGCAACTGCCCTTCGACAGGGCTTGCGGTTCTACGCCTATGAAGAGGGGCGTCCGTAGCTTTAACCCTAAACCCTAAACCCTAAACCCTAAACCCGAAACCCGAAACCCGGAACCCTAACTGCATATTGGAAGCCTGGAGCTTGAGTTACGAAAGTTGTAAGCTTGTCTGGGTGCTCAAGACCCTCCTTATGACCCGCAAACCTCAACACCCTCACGCCCACGCTGAAGAACACCAGAAATATCCCTGAAACTCTCAACCCTAAAGCCATACACACTGGACCTACTCAGGTTCATCGGATGTGCATATAGGCCTAAGCTCAGGCTGTCAACTCCCATCAACTCCCTGGTACTTATAAAGTAGGCCAAAAGCTTGAGCCAATATCTGACAAGCGGCCGTGCTCCCCACCGAGCAAAGAGAGCACTTCGATGGCATTGGACCCATTCACTTTGGTGGTCTTTCCTGCATAATCTAACCAGCAAGGGCTTAGTGCCTGGGGGTTGAGCTTGGGGTTCAGGGTTAAGGCTCTGGGTTTAGGGTTTCGGGGTTCGGGTTGGGTTCAGTGTTCAGGTTTGAAGGAGGATGGTGGGAGCACATCCCTTGAGCCCCTGTCTTGCCTGGAAACTATATTGGACCTGAATCTCAAACTCATACCAAACGCTCACCCTAAACCCTACTTAACCCCAAGCCACAACTCCTGAACTGCCTGAACGCCGGACGAAGACCCCGACCGCACAAGAACAAAATGGCACGGCCACATCAAAAGCAACTCGACTTCAGGTTCTGGGTTTAGGGGTAAGGGCTCAGGGTTTCGGGTTTCGCGCGAAAGAATCTTAAATTAAACATCTATGCCTTAGTGCTACCCAAAACCCTAGAGCCCTAAGCGATGTTCGGAGCCTGCTTGGGTAAAGCTGATAAGAGCGCCCAGCCTGTGTAGAGGAAGTACATCATGGCAAGGACCGACTCGCCTCTCGCAAGAACTGAAAGGGTTTAGGGTTTAGGGTTTAGGGTTTGGGGTTGGGGTTTAGGGCTTGGGGTTTGGGGTTTAGGGTTTAGGGTTTCTTCCAAACGAGGGGCGGGGGGGGGGGGGGGGGGGGGGGCGGGTTAGGTTTTAGGGTTTAGGGTTTAGGATCTAGGTTTTGGGGTTTAGGATTTTACCCAAACCCAATAATGTTGACTTCACATTTGTGATTCCCGCCGCAATTGTAAAATCACGCTGCCGGAACACAATATTGTAACCCGCCACAATTGTAAAATCCGACCCGGGAAATCCGGTTTTTACGGGCGTGGTGCTACTACCTAATACTAAAACTAATAGTACGTCCTACCAGGATTTAGGCGAACATTATTGAGGAGGCCCTGGCCGGAGAGATTGATCAATGAAGGGGGGGGGGGGGGGGGTTATTAATGCGAAGTCAACATTACCCCGTAAGGAATCTAGCTTAAATCTTCTAAAAGATTCCTATATCGATTAAGGCACAAAACCCTTAATTAAGGGGTATTGGGCTCTTTGTGTACGGCGGTGCGCACAGTCTTCGAAACGACTTTCCGAACTTCCGAAACCATGCCTGAACCCTGTAAGGTTCGGGGTGTAGGGTTTAGGGTTTCGGGTGGTTTAGGGTTTAGGGTTTAGGGTTTAGGGTTTCGGGTTTAGGGTTTAGGGTTTCGGGTGCACCTCAGGTTAAGCTCAGACTAGTGTCGGACGCCAGAGGTGGCACTAGCATACGCCCTCAACATCCCTAATGCATGCCTAGGGTTAGGTTAAGGGCTCAGGGTTCAAGGTTAAGGGTTTAGGGTTTAGGGCTTATGGTCTGCGTAAGACCGAACGAGGTTGTTGCAAAACACAATCTCTGGAACAGACGTTCCTGCAGGGGTCTGGTGATCCCTAAGGGTCCATGTTTGGGATCTAGGGGGTTAGGTTCAGGGTTTAGGGTTTAGGGTTTAGGTTTAGGGTTTAGGGTTTAGGGTTTAGGGTTTAGGGTTTAGGGTTTAGGGTTTAGGGTTTAGGGTTTAGGGTTTAGGGTTTAGGTTTAGGGTTTAGGGTTTAGGGTTTAGGGTTTAGGGTTTAGGGTTTAGGTACAAAATGGGTACATAGACCCTCTCAGGAACAAGCCACGCCCCCACTCTAGACCGCGCGCGGGCATTCGGGGTTCAAGGTTCAGTGCCCTCATCACATGAAGGTGTGCGGGTGTTCCCTACGGAAGTACTCGGGAAATCATGCCTTGAGGAGCCCCCCCCCCCCCCACACCACCCAGACACTTCGAAAAGGCTTACCCTAGGGCTCCAAGTATACAAATAATACCTAGTTTGGGGTCTAAAGTCTATAAATAATAACTACTTTGGGCTATTTGGAGCCTTAGGGTTAGGGTGCAGATTCCCAAACGAGAGCCGCAGCTCGCAGTAACAACAAATAACCGTGACGGGTTGGCGTCGTGGGCGGTCGCCGCGGCAGTGTTGCAGCGTCACCATCAAAGATGTTCGCTCGACCATCTCCTCGAGAAGCTGTCATGCGCTTAGAGCTTAGGGTTTTGAAAGCTCTTGCTGAAACGAAAGGTAAGATAAGGGGCCTGCAGATAGGGCAGAATCAAGGACATTGCTGTGAGGAGCAGACGTAGAGCAGGCTATGGTATGGGGCTCAGGAGGACCTCGTCCGCATGCACTTGCGAGAAACACAGCTAAGCCCCCCATCCTAACGAACAAAGAAAAGAAACAAAGAAACCCTAAAACCTAAACACCGCGAGCCCAAGCATACGAAAGGTTCCCCGATTCGGGGCTGAGAATTTCGGGATCGATGGACAGTTTTCTTTCAGGTTTTACCTACTTTTTTGGATTGTGATTGGAACCTGTACTTTATAAGGTTAGAAATTGCCAAGTCGCAAGTTGGGGCACATCGGGAAAGACTTTCGGGTGCTTAGGTTTGAAGGGTTTAGGAGTTTAGGGTTCAGGCTTTAGGGTTTAGGGTCAGGATCTAACATAGGGAGCATGGATCAACATCCTCACCCTAAACCCTCAACCCTAAACCCAAAACCCAAAACCCTAAACCCGCCCCCCCCCCCCCCCCCCCCCCCCCCCTTGCTCCACCCAGCCTAAAAATCTCTGAGTACCCGTTCCAATCCAAAAGCACCCCAAAGCCTCTTCAAAGTCATGGCTGAGCCTGAAGCCCTAAGAATAGAAAGGGTTTAGGGTTTAGGGTTTAGGGTTTACTTAGTTGCTGAGTTCATACGCCTCCAAAAAGTGTACACTTTCAGTTCTATAGGGGATTAAAGTATCCCAAAAAGTGTAAAGTGTACTCACTCAGCTACTAAGTTTAGGGTGTAGGGTGTAGGGTGTAGGGTGTAGGGCCCTAAGCCCTAAGCCCTAAACGCGGCCCAGCGGCCGATGCGAAAGCCGCCCGGAAGAAGTCCGAGCGCGCTGCCAGCATGGCCGAGTGCGCCAAGTACATGTCCTGAAGAACTTGGGTTTAGGGTTTAGGGTTTAGGGTTTAGGGTTTAGGGTTTAGGGTTTAGGGTTTAGGGTTTAGGGTTTAGGGTTTAGGGTTTAGGGAAAACTCTCGCGCGCGCGCACACACACACACACAAACACAGACAAAGAGAGAGAGAGAGGGAGACACAGAGACACAGATGCACAGAGCAAAAAGAGCAAACTCAAAAGTGCAACGTGTGCGCTCCTGATTGAACCCTAAGATACCCTCCCCCTCCACAGAAACAAAACAAACCCAAAGCCTCAACGACCACCCCAGTTCCTTTTGGTACCATAGATGCACACATGGGTCCTTGATGGGCCTGACGCCGTAAAAAAGCCCTAGCCTAAGCTTTTGCCTTCCACCCCCACCTTCTTCATCTTGTGCAGGAAGGGTGTTCAGTGACGTTGGGGGCATTCCCCTTCCTGTACCCGACGCCAAAACCCTGAATCCTTAGCACAGAAAGCCCTAAACCCGAAGCCCCAAACCCTAAACCCTAAACCCTAAACCCCAAACCCCAAACCCTAAACCCTAAACCCTAAACCCTAAACCCTAAACCAATCCCTGAACCCAAGCAGGCGGGGGGGGTTAAGGCTGCGCGCCCCCAGCCTCGCCCACCACCACGCGGCAGTCCGGGGCAAAGTCCTCCGAACTTCAGGAGTTTAGGGTTTAGGGTTTAGGGTTTAGGGTTTAGGGTTTAGGGTTTAGGGTTTAGGGTTTAGGGTTTAGGGTTTACCCCTTAGAACCTTCGTAAGCATGCTCTTCTTTAACATTAACAGCCCCTTGGGATTTAATAATTATAAAATTAAAACACCAAGTGGATCCTAAGGGGTCTGTAGGTTTAGAGCCTTGGCTTCCAAATGGGAGGGGTTCCGAAATTTGGAGGGGACCTTATTGGGGGCGTTTTTTTTCAACTATTTGGGGATTGGGTTCCGAAATTAGCGGTACCTTATTGGGGTGCTTTTTGTTTATCAGGGACTCCTAGTGAGGTCCAATTATTTTGGGATCTATATTGGGGGTCTCCCATGTCGTAAACCCCCAAATGAAGGCGCATCATAAACCCCAAGCCCTAACCTCTCGCAGATTCTTGGTCCCCAGGCCTTTGCAGGAAAAGGCCTTACATTCATATTAGGATCTCTACAATGTAGTTGAAGGTGCTGCTCCCTAAACCCTAAACCCTAAACCCGAAACCCTAAACCCCCACCATGACAGCGGTGCTTCTTCGACTCCCTGGGGCCCTAAACCCTAAACAGGATTGATATAAGGGGGAAGGGATGAGGTGCATGTGCCCTCACGGGTACCGTACGGGGGGAATTACTAAACCCTAAACCCTAAACCCTAAACCCTAAACCCTAAACCCTAAACCCTGGTACGTGGGCCCTCAAAGGGTACGGTACATGAGACTTTGTGCCTGCTGGCCACGGTGGCGTGGAGCAGTACGCGGACGGTCGCCGCTATCCTCCACCAAAGGGAACTCTTGAGGGTTTAGGGTTTAGGGTTTAGGGTTTCGGGTTTAGGGTTTAGGGTTTAGGGTTTAGGGCTTAGCCTGGCTGAGGCTGAAGGATTTCAAGTGCTCCCTAGCCTGTCTCCCTCCCTCGTCTGGCTCTCTCCCGCTCTCCGCTGTCCCTTTCCATCTCCACCTCCTTCTCCATCTTCATCTCCATCTCTGTCTCTCTCTCTGTCTCTGTCTCGTTCTTTCTCTCGCATGATCTCTCTGTCTCTATCTCTGTCTCTGCCTCCGTCTCTGTCTCCGTCTCTCTCTCTCTCTCTCGAGCGCAGCTGTGCTTGCCGCTTGCCTGTGCATACATGCATGTATACCATGTTGAATACATCTGGTTGGTGGTGATGAGCTGCAACATGTTAGATGCTGCGGGCCTGCTGCTGAACTAAGCCTCCCTTAACCCTGAACCCTGTAGGACTAGGAATCAAGCAGAAACCTCTCAAACCCGGAACGCCTCTATCCAAACTGAAAACCTTCAATTCAATTGCAACCTCCGAACTACGGCTCTGACTGTCGAGCTAAACCCTAAACCCTAAACCCTAAACCCTAAACCCTAAACCCTGGCCCTAAACCCTAAACCCTAAACCCTTTATAAACCCTAAACCCTAAACCCTAAACCCTAAACCGCGCCTCCCGCGAGGAGGTGCCCTCCTCGCCATGCTCCTCAAGGCGCCTAGCAGTGGCCCAATCATCCCAGGCAACGCCCCCTGAACCCTTAGGTCCTGTTTATAGGGGTTATAGGGTTTAGGGCTCTTAAACGTCAACCTGCTACTCCTAAGATTTCGATCCTGAACCCTCCCAAGCCCCGCTACTGTTTAAAGGCCCCTGCTTCATGACATGGGGTTCGGATGTTCTGATTGAAGGGTCAGGGGCGCTGCTGGTTTAGCTTCGATGGCTTCCGAGTGCAAACAGACAAGGTTGAGAATATTGCTTGTCTCCATGTGCAGTCTTATGGGATAGTACATCTGGGGATAGTTTATCGGCATACAAGGATTATGTGAGGAAATGTTGGTAACTGCTTTGGCTCCCTCATTGCCCTACAAGTCTGAAACCGCTGCCATGTCAATGTGGAATCTAGTTCTTGGAAGCTCCACCCTAAACCCTAAAACCATAAAACCCTAAAAAACCCAACGGACACACAGAGACAGACAGAGACAAAAAAAGGGAACCCTACACCCTGGAGACCCTAAACCCTAAACTCTAACTCTAACCCCCCCCCCCCCCTCCCAGCAGCATTCTTCACTTCAGCCTGAAACGTTGTCAAGCCAGAGGCCAAGTGTAAGACACGCGCTCGCCGGCAAATTTCAAAGCAGCCGCAAAGCAGGGCTGTCAAATAATAGACAAAAAAAAGGTCTGATCTGGCAAGGTTTCTAACAGTGTCTAACAGCATCTGTGAATCAACTTAGAGTTATGAACCCCAAACCCTGAACCCTAAACCCTTAACCCTCAGAAACTCCCTGAACATCATGGAACCTTATTGTCAACCAACATCGCCATAGTCTAGACCCGGGAGTAGCCTAGAATAAGAAGGGTGCCCTTTTTGGCTTAAGGGGCTCATAAGGGAACCCAAAACCCAAAACCCAAAACCCTATAAACCCTAAACCCTAAACCCTAAACCCTAAACCCCAAACAAGGGAATACGGGCCCACTCTGGGTCCTATTGTAGTTGCACGCCGAAGCGGCGCGGCATCAAAGAGGCGGCCGAAGTCACTGACGATGGTGCTCGGGACCTTGGAATCCAGGGTTTAGGGTTTAGCGTATGGGGTTTAGGGTTTAGGGTTTAGGGTTTAGGGTTTAGAGTTTAGGGTTTAGGGTTTAGGGCTTAGAATAGGGTTTGGGGGTTTTTTATGGAGCAAGGGACCTCAGAACATGTCTAGCGCCCAGGAGGAGGGGACCCGGCTGCTCGGGTGTTGGCGGTTTAGGGAAACCCTCAACCCTCAACCCTAAACCCTAAACTCCTAAGCCCTAAACCCTAAACCCTAAACCCTAAACCCTAAACCCTCAACCCTAAGTTCAGGGGGACGCCCGTCTCAAACTCGAGACTCATGAGCTTAGGAAGTTCTGCAGCGATTGAAGTTGTCTGTCCGAAACGTGGCCCAAGGGTTTAGGCTGAGGGTTTAGGGTTTAGGGTTTAGGGTTCAGCACAAGCCCACATTGGTCGTGGACAAGAGCTGGCACAGCCTTGAACTTGTCTCCCTCCAGAGCTGGTGTGCGAGCAGCACGTTTTGGGCCAACTTATGGTTTAGGGTTTAGGATTTAGGGTTTAGGGTGTAGGGTTCAGCACGCGCGTTTCCTCATTGGCTGCTCTGATGTCCTGCGCAACTTCAGTCTCTGCACTTCGTCGTCCTTGCCCTTGAATCCCTGAACCCCCGTTCTTGGGATCTTGTGGATTCTGGATCTCCTAGTTGCTGAGTAGCCTGGCCCAAAAAAGGTTCTCCTTTCAATGATGGTAGGATTCTATATACCCCAAAAGGTTACCGGTTGCCTACTCAGCTACTAAGATCTAATAGGGTTCAGGGTTATGAGGGGGATTCGGGTGGAAACGGCTGGACGGGAGGCAAAGGTGGAGTGCCACAAAGGAATCAAAATGGTGTTTTCGGTTTAGGGCTTCTTGGGGGTTTAGGGTTTTAAGGTGTATGTAGGGTTTCGGGTCTAAAAAAGCCCTGCAAGCCATGTAAACCCTAAAAATCCATATAAACCCTGTAAACCTTGAAGGGTTGAGGGCTTAGGTTTTCGGGGAATTCCGAAACCCTAAACCCTAAACCCTGGGTCTACGTATCTTGAAGGGGTGCTCTTTGTGGTGTTCGACTCACGGCTGTGCGGAGGCGAAGGATTAGGGTTTAGGGTTTAGGGGTACCAGATCCCGAGGGTCCCGATATCTTACATGGGTACAGGGTCAGCAGAGGGATATACTTGAGCCTTTAAGAGGTTCCTTGATATGGTAGCTGTAGGGCCCGAACTATGTACTGTAACCCTACATACAACCCTGAAACCTAGACCCCCAAGAACCATAGGGATTTTTAAGGTTCTAGGGCTTATAGGGATTTTTTGGGTTTACAGGGTTCATGGGGTTCATGGGCATTACAGGGTTAGAGTTTATAGGCTTTTCAGGGTTTTGCCCAGGCACGGCCGGCGCTGGTCGTCCCGGGGCGGATCTCCCACCTTCACCCTCAGCGTCCTCTCGGAGCCCTAAATGCGTATTCCAACAATAGGGACCCTCACAGGCCTCACATGCGGTACACCCTATTTTCGGGGAAACCCACAGTGGCCGGGAGGAGGGTATGATTTGGGGCTTGGTAGTTTAGGGGTTTAGGGGTTGAAGGTTGTGAGGGTTTTTTGAGGATTTCACGGGCTTAGGGGTCCTGAACCCTGAACCCTAAACCCTAAACCCTGAACCCTAAACCCTAAACCTCTGCCACAAGAATGTCAGGGCTTCAGGGTCACGTCCTTCCAAAGGCGACCAAGCCGAAACAGCTCCGCGACAACTTCCTTAGGCCGTGCACAGCGAAACCTAAACCCTAAACCCTAAACTCTAAACCCTAAGCCGTAAGCCATAAGCCCTGAACCCTAAGCCCACCCCAATATTGCCAAGAAAGGGTTGCTCGATATTGGCTGTCTATGAGGGGTCCAAACCCTTAGGTCATGGTGGTGGATATGGGCCTCTCTCGGGCCGCACGTGCACGTCTTACAGTCAGACTCGCGTCTTCAGCTTCACAACGCGTCAAGCATTTCCCTCGCCTGAGCCTCTTGAAGTAGCTGAGAATTAAAGGACAAGAGCCCAAGACAACACACCTTTGGACCTGGACTAGAGCCCTCGGAGCCTTAGCTCTAGGTTTGCAGGTGAGACTCTGGAAGGTCGGACAAGGTGTGCATGAACAGCTCTGGGCGCTCCACCAGAGTGTCCTCAGTCGTTCGCGGAGGATCTCTTGCGCTTGTCTGTTAGGTTTCAAGGGACGATGTACCTAAACGGAGAGTACTTGGGTGAAAGCACCTCCTACACAGTGACTTCTGGGCACAAGTATACACAATTGAGCTACGTTGGACCCTTGCCACGTTGATGAGACGCTTCCGTGCAAACCGAGCTGGGGACTTGAGGGTTTAGGGTTTTGGGTAGGTGGACACTCATATAGAACGCCTCTGAAAGCGAGCTATTTAGGGTAGGTGGACCCAAATTTAGAACAGCTCTGAAATCCTCAACTGCCAGTATAAGCTAGTCTGGGTTGAGCCCCATCATACGAGCATGACATGACTGTGGACAGACTTTGCCGCTGACCTTGGCCTAGACCCTGAGAACCCTAAACCCTAAATCCTGTAAACCCTAAACCCTAAACCCTAAGAACCCAGAACCCCTAAACCCTAAAAAAACCCTAGACCCTCTAAACCCTACAAACCCTAAACCCTAAACCGCATACCATTCCAGATACATAGAGCATAAGAGTGCTTTGAGGTCTGAGCTCTAGCGTGGCCTAGGCTTTCTAAGGGTTCTCCCTTACTCTGGTTCCTTACGCTCTTCAAGGGATTCTGATGTGTGGGGCCCTTGGGTTTTAAAGGGTAAATAAGGGGTTTAGGGTTTAGGGTTCAGGGTTTAGGGCTTAGGGTTTAGGGTTTAAGGGCCCATACTAAGTAAGGGGCCATGTAAACACCCGCAGAGGCTTGGCTCAAGCACCACGCCCGGCGCCAGCACATCCCTGGGGGCCCCAGCATCGAGATGATATATAACTTGGACCTTGAAGGGGTTCCTATGTAGTAGTTCAGGGTCTAGGGTTTCGGGCCCAAGTTATATGTGTTATCTGTATATATATATATATATGTATAGTCTATATAGGCAGATGAATATTTAAGCTTGGGGTCTCCATGGGGCAACCCTTATATACCTCTGCCCAAGAATTGCGGAATTACCCCTGTTCCTTCCCTCAAGGGTATCTAGGATACTCTAGCCCTAAGGGGCCATGTACCTCATTATTACATAATTACTTGGGCTTTAAGTACTTCCTATATAGGGACTTTGGGGCCCAAGTTTATAAAAGAAGAGGTACATGGACCCTTAAGGGGTGGAAATTTTGCAAAGGTTGCTGAGTGAGCCCAGCCGCGAAGTTGTGGAGCGCGAATCTCATGCAGCCCTGGCGGCACGGCAACTACGCTCGGTTTAGGGTTTAGGGTTTAGGGTTTAGGGTTTAGGGTTTAGGGTTTAGGGTTTAGGGTTTAGGGTTTAGGGTTTAGGGTTTAGGGTTTAGGGTTTAGGGTTTAGGGTTTAGGGTTTAGGGATTCAGGAATGGACTAGGAATGACAAGGGTACTTTTTGCTTGCTGAAAGAATTTGTAAGGGAACCTCGCCACAAAAAAGGGAACAAGGGCCCTAAACCCTAAACCCTAAACCCTAAACCCTAAACTCTAAACTCTAAACCCTAAACTCTAAACCCTAAACCCTAAACCCTAAACCCTAAACCCTAAACCCTAAACCCTAAACCCTAAACCCTAAACCCTAAACCCTAAACCCAGACCCGCCACGCCTGCTTGAGCCCAGAGATCTGCCGCACGTGGCTCCTTGGAGTGTCATGGGCCGCGGATTGCAAGTAGGGTTTAGGGTGGTTTAGGGTTTAGGGTTTAGGGTTTAGGGTTTAGGGTTTAGGGTTTAGGGTTTAGGGTTTAGGGTTTAGGGTTGGGGGGCTGGCCATGATTTTGTTGGGGACTCACACCCTAACTTACATGCCTCAAACACCGGTGTCGAATCGGATCGATGATCGGATCGATGGGGCCGGGAACCCAGCTCCCGAGTTTAGGGTTTAGGGTTTGTGGCCTCCTCCCAGCCCACCTCCCACGCTCTGCTCTCCATCACCCCTCCGCCCCGGCCTCCCTGCCCGCCCGCCCCACCTCCCACCTCCCTTAGGCTGAGGATTTGGAGTATAGTACCCCCCTATTAGAATCCCTAGCACTGTTCGTACAAGGGGGAACATCCCAAGGTTGAGGGTTTAACCCTACCCTAAACCCTGAGCCCTTGTCACGTTTGGGTGTGAGCTACCCTGCACCCTGATAAACGCATGGGCCCTTGACCCTAAAACGCTAGAACCGTAGAACCTTAAAGCAGCCTAGAACCCTAGAACCCTAGAACGATGAAAACCCTAGAGCCCGAAACCCGAACACCCTGAAGAGCCTAAACCTATAAACCCCAAACCCATAAACCCCCAAACCCCCAAACCCCCAAACCCCCAAACCCCTAAACCCCTAAACCCCTAAACCCCTAAACCCCTAAACCCCTAAACCGTAAACCCCTAAACCCTAAACCCTAAACCCTAAACCAGCCAACGGCTTCGCGCCCCCCCTCCCCCCTCCCCCAAATCGAACCAAGCTGCTCTCGGAGTACGGATGCAAAGTGTGCCATGTCTAAGGACTCCAGTATGGCTTCCTTGAGGTCACAGGGGCTTTTAGGGCTCTCGGTTCGAGGTTTAAACTAGGGCTTAGATCTCAAACCAAGTTGCTTGCAGCCTGAAAGGGTTTAGCAAGTGCCAAAACCCGAATTTCCTGAGGTCATGGAAAAGTTTAGAGTCCAGGGCTTTGCAACGCCTCAACCGCAAATCAACTAAGCCCAAAGTCGTCAAGTGGGTGTGGGGTGGACATTCCTTCAGCCTAGCCCCTAAACCCTACTTAACATCATAAAGTTGCTGTGATTTTTTGCAAGTACATAAAACTGCCCTCTCTCTTTCTCTCTCTCTCTCTCTCTCTCTCTCTCTCTCTCTCTCTCTCTCTCTCTCTCTAGCCAAGGGTGAAGCAAAAATCGAGAACCACCAACAGTTTGTTGTCGTAAAAACTCCCTTTGCCTACATGGGGGTTTACGAAAATGAGGGACCCCTCATCTAGACCCCCAAATAGGAGGATCCCCCTGTTGTTTAAGAACCCAGTAAGGTACCCCTAATTTCGGAAACCAAACATCTGCATCTGCATCTCTCTCTCCATGTGCGGCTTCCTTCTGTACACTGGCTCCAATCACTGGACCCTAAACCCTAAAGCCAGCAAGCCCCACAAGCCCAAATCCCTAAGTGAAGCAAAAAGATGCTCTCTGCCCTGCATCTGAGGAAGTCCGGACATAGACTTTAGGGACTATGGAAAATTAGCGAATACGATGCTTCTCCATATTCAGGAATTGTGCATGAGTTCACTGGCATGCAACGACGTCTCCTAGTCCTCACGTCTGTGCACTGCTGAGAAATTCGGCATACCTCGAGGAACCTTGTACTTGAACTCATCCCAATAGTTCAGGGACACTTCCCTTTGTTTCGAAGTATAGAGGTACCTCCAAAAACTGCGCGTTTAGTGCGTTGGGCGTTCAGGGTTTGCACGAAACTAGAGTACCTCTAAGCCCACCGTGCTATACCATTTTTGAAGTATATGGGCCCATGGGGGTGTAATTCATGAGGCGAAGGGCCTTGGGGTGTGGGGATAGGTTAGAGCTTTGTGCCTTGAGGAACTTCTGTGCGTCGCTGGAGCATGCATCGACCAGCAGTGAACTTGTTAAAGGCCTGTAGCTTGGGATGTCCCATGATGTCCCCCTTACACTAACAGTCCTTAATAGGGATTATAATAGGGGGTACTATACTCCCTGTGTAGGACTGTTAGCGTAACAGGAAACATCCTAACCTGTAGCACGCAACGCAAGAGCACAACTCTCACATAAACCCTACAAGCCCTGGTGTCCACTCCAGGCAGGACTCGCGGAGGAGAGTCCCCAGTCTCTCCACCTCGTACTTGGCGCAAGCCTGGTGAAGCTGCGATAGCCCCAACCAGGCTACGGGGACCTACCCACCGACCTTACCGAAGAGATGTGGGGATGTAGAGTTCCGGGTACCGGGGATGCCAGCAGTGTCCGCAAGGTCGCAGCTGCACCCGGGCAGAACAGGGACGTGTGACAAAGACCTTCTTGGATATCCCCCGGTTGGAGTCCGGGTGACTACATGCACGGCAGTGCTTTGGCAGGGGTGGATTTCGAAAGCACCTGCTGAAAGCTGCCTAAGCCCTCAAGAGCTTCAGGCCAAGTGATATGGCGCTCAGGGGTTGGGGAAAATCCCCCCGGCCCCACACCCCCCCGCCAAAAAAAAAAAAGAAATAAAAACAGTTCAAATGAAGCTTGAGGCACGACCAGCCCCTACCCTACGCCCCCGCATGTCAAGCCTCGCCTTGGTCCAAGTCTTTTCGGTTTGTGAAAGGCTGAGGGCCTATAACCCCTCAAGCCCTATGCCCGCAAACGGTCTCACGCCGTGTGCTCCACGGGATCTAAACATAGACTTATCACATAGCACCTACTTTGGTGCCCAAGTAGTCTCAACACCAAGAATTGCACCTCCAAAAGCCCGGAACACTACAGTAGGCCCATGGACTGTGTCAGGCCTTAAGTTTCTGAGGGTATCTGGGGTGAGGGACCCTACATTTACCCTAAACCCTAAACCCTAAACCCTAAACCCTAAACCCTAAACCCTAAACCCCAAACCCTGCGTCATCACAAGGGGCCTCCAGCAGGTCGAAGGCGGCTCTCCTGGTGGCTGCAGCCGGGGCGCGCGAGTCGTCGTCCTCCTCGCCTCATCCGTGGGCTTGTAAGGAGGGAATCTGGAATTTGTAGGTTTAGGGTTTAGGGTTTAGGGTTTAGGGTTTGGGGTTTAGGGTTTAGGGTTTAGGGTGTAGGGTTTAGGGTTCAGGGTTTAGGGTTTAGGGTTTAAGGTAAGGGGAGCGGGGGGGGGGGGGGGGGATTTCGAGCATTTTCAGGTGTAGAAGTTTAGGGTTCAGGGTTTAGGGACTACTGTGAAGTTCAGACCCGAAACCTTAATCCCTAACAACCCTAAACCCCAACAAGCAAGTAAGTGAGCTTGCTTGCCAAAGACCAACTACAAGGAGGGCCCCCCCCCCCCCCCCCCCCCCCCCCCCCCCACCCCTAGTTATAAGTAGAGTTATAAGGACCCTACCCCGAGTTATAAGTAAATTTTGCAAACCCTAAAACTGGGTTTAGGTTAAAAGTCTGTACAGTAACGGGGCCCCTAGTTGTAAGCTTCTGGGGGGGAGGGAGGGGACAGGCAGGCGTAGGTTGAGCGCATGTCTAGGATGGGCTCAGGGGCGAAACTTCTAAACCCTAAACCCTAAACCCTAAACCCTAAACCCTAAACCCTAAACCCTAAACCCTAAACCCTAAACCCTAAACCCTAAACCCTAAACCCTAAACCCTAAACCCTAAACCCTAAACCCTAACTTTAGGGTTTTGAGGGGGTTTAAGGCTCAGAGGGTATTAGAGCCTGGGGGATCGTAAGGGTACGGGCTTGGGGGTTTCAGGCGGTGTGTCGAGTTCAAAGTTTCATTTTGGGTCTTCGGCCCTAAACCCAAGAGCCTCTCCAGTTTTTAATGTTCAAATCTAGAGTTTGTGTCAGCGCTTTCGGCCTGGAGTCATTTGGAGAAGGGTTCAGGGCTTTTCGATTTGGGATTCTGATTTTTGCTTGTAGACCCTCCGTACCCTAAACCCTAAACCCTAAACCCTAAACCCTAAACCCTAAACCCTAAACCCTAAACCCTAAGCCCTAAACCCACTCAAGTAGAAGTAGGATGTGTTGGACTGAAGGATGACGATCCCGGGGTGCTTGTCCGCAGTCCTTCGCGCAATCGTGAGCTTCAGGGTTCAAAGGTTCTAGGCTTGCTTGCCTCATCGTCACTGCATCGAAGTTGTAGAGAGTCGTGGCCCTAAACCCTAAACCCTAATCCGCCGAGGCCTCGGGCCGAAGGTGTATAGGTAGTCAGAACAGGCACCCCCCTCCAAATCCTCCCAGCCCAAAGCCCTTTTTCGGACCCCTTTTTTTGCCTCAAATGGGTACCCCCCCTAGGTGAGCAGGGTCCGCAAGCGGATGGTTCGCCAGGACCAGAGGCAGTTGCAGCCCTTCCCAGCAGGGCCCCCCCCTTTTTCACCCTACCCCCACCCCCCCACCCCCCCCCCCCTACCCCCCCCCCCCTACCCCCCCCCCTACCCCCCCTTCCCCCCCCTAACCCCCCCCCTCCCCCAAAAGCCACATGAGCGGCTGGCTCGAGGTGCTAATGGACGCAACAAGAGGGGCTTGATGTTTGTAGGTGTCGCTATAGCACACCCAATGGTTCATAACCTCGGGGTGTCGCTTTTCAAGTGTTCCCATCGTTTTACAGGGTTTTGGGCATTCGTGTCCACCCCTTGCTTAATTGAATGGCTGGGGGTTTTGGCGCTTGCTCACATAAGGTGTTTGTGAAAGGCGGAGTTTTCCTGCTCCGACGCGCTGCCCTCAAGCCGCCGAGGCCTCGGGCCGGAGGTGTATAGGTTGTCAGAACAGGCACCCCTCCAACTTTTTTTGGCCTCAAATGGGTACCCCCCCCTGGGAAACCGGGGTCCGCAAGCGGACGGTTCGCCAGGACCAGAGGCAGTTGAAGCCCCTCCCAGCAGGGACCCCCACCCCCTTTCCCCCCCCCCCCCCCCCCCCCCCCCCCCCCCCCCCCCCCCCCCCCCCCCCCCCCCCCCCCCCCCCCCCCCCCCCCCCCCCCCCCCCCCCCACCCTTCGCCTTAAACCTTAAAGGGCCTGGCTCAACCCTACGATCACTCCAAGCCGAACCCTAAACCCAAAAAAACCCTCAACCCCAAAGCGTGAACCTTGAGCCCTAAACTAACCCTCAACCCCAAACCCCAAACCATAAACCATAAACCCGGAACCCTCAACCCTCAACCCTCAACCCTCAACCCTCAACCCAACCCTTATTGCTTGGGGTCCAGCGACTTGGGCGCTGCGGAATCACCATGCTCACGCAGATGCGCTGGGCCGGGCCGAGGCGGGTCGCGTAGCGTTAAAATTAAACCCTAACCCCTAATTACACTGGACCTGAAGATTTCAAGGACACTGGGCTCAAGTCGCCCGGAGAGTGCAGGCAACAACCAGGCTCCCCTAGTGCATTATGAGAAGAACGAAGGGTTTCAAAGCTCAAGGCTACTGATTGCTTAAGAACCCTCAAAAAACAAGAATACTCTTCCTTATGTAGGGATAAAGCAACTAGTGGATCGCGGGTATCTGTGGCAGTTCATATTTTAAAGATGTATATGGAACATTAGGCCGTAGAAATTTTGGGCTCCTCCGTTAGAGGGCTTAGAGTGCAGCGCCATAGGAATCGAACTATAACATCATATAATATAACATACTATAGTATAGCAAAAGTATGATATAATATAACATAGTATAGTATAATGTAATATAACACACTAGGGCCCCGCACTCAACACAGGGATGGCTTCGCCATAGGCCCAGCGCAGTAGCAGCACGAGGGTCGCGCGCGAGAGGTCGCTGATGCGGACCTGTCGGCTACAGATGCAAGTAAACGTAAAACATGTATATGCGTATT